GTCTCTCTCTCTCTCTCTCTCTCTCTCCCTAATCACTTCCCGGTTTCCCACGATCTGCAAACAATGCTCGTGCACTTTTGTGCATATTCACGAGCCTGATGCGCTCAGACGAGCAGCACTCATTGGTGTCAGACAAATTAATCATTTTTAAATATAATATTATTGTATTCTTTTTAACAAAAATTTTATCATCCATTTATGTGCAAAAAAAAGTTTTTGTAAATAATCATAAAATATCAATGTTATATAATTCTAAAAATTCACGGAAAAAATAAAGCTCGAGCAAGGTGAAGTAGCAAGCTTATATATAATGTGTTGACAGAAGAAATTTTCAGATTATGTCTCATCCTCGCAGGTGGAATTCAACTAAACTAATATTGTCAAAGCATTAATAAGCGAGCTTTGTGTACCTTTTTTTTAATGATAACCTTTCTTCCGCAGTTACGCCGCTTCTTTTCATGGGAACGCGGAAATACGTTGATTGCGGCTGTAAAGAATGCAACGTGGTGCACCGGTTAAATCGCCGGTCGACCCTGGTACCCACGCTGGCGATGGAAGTGGAAATGGAATCGCGCGCGCGGCAGATTCGCGGCTGCACGCTTTAAGCACCGCAAGGTGACATGACATCCGTTGCGCGCGTAGGCACCGTTAGCACATCGTGCGCCTCAGCTGGGCGGCATGCGCAATTTTATTCGGACAAAACTCAGCGAATCTCGCTGACGAGCGTCAACGGTAAAGCTTGAATAAATAACGCGCGCCGAGAACGTTATCATCGAAGTGGTAACGCCGTCGTCTGCTCGGCGTGACGGATTAGCGGCGATGCATCCGGCTGCAACGATCGCTTAGAAGACCGGATTTGAACGCTCATTCCCGAAGATATACGTACACTTTCGGAAAATCCCCGAGAATCCTGCGATTTTATCTGATCCTAAAAGGAACAAAAGCCACGTAGAGAGCTTTTTAACTCTTTACATTTTACTGAACTGCTATTCCGTCAGTTTCAATCCACTTCGATTTATCTTTCCATTTTATTACTTTCTACGAATGGAAACACAAAACAAGAGAACGAAAAAGAAAGTGTATCTCTGGGATTTTCTAAAGATGGAATTATCTTTGAAAAATAAACCGCACTTATACGAATTCATTCGAACAAAGCGTGAAGTCAATTAAAAAAAATAAATTTGAGTGTTTCTGTAATATGTGCAATAAGTAATTTCGATTTTTTAAATAAATAGTGTTGTTTTTCACCAGCTAGCTTAAAAAATTGTGATACGGGCGGAACTTAATTATAACTTTGACAAACAAATATTTAATTTAAGCGTTAATCAAATTGCGCTTTGCTTGACAAGTAAACAGATTTATTTGAAACATCCAAAATTACTTATTACACAATTCAATATTACTATCCAATAGCGAAGCATTCCTGCATTCGTTAACTGCAATCAGTTGAATAGTATGCTAATGAATCGTTAGGCGATTAGATTCTCTTTATTGAGAAATAAGACTTCCTTATTTATAGAGAAATACAAATTTATAGATAGACAAGTATAAAGGAATTCTTATTTCGTAAGAAATATCTATAAACGACTTTGAGAGAAGAAATTGTTTATTGTTAAGAAATTCAGAAATGGACCCTCGATCATTTGAACATTCCGCTTTAGAAAGTAGATAGATACCGTAAATCCGAAAACATTTCGACTCATTCGATTTATCGTCCACTCAAGAGCAACTTATACGTCGTCCCGTGCGCGGCAGGCGGTTCTCAGCGAACGGTATAAAGCGTTCGATCGCGGACGCACCTGCGCAACGGGGATGCGTATCTGAGATGCATATGCATCTCGCGTGCAACCGGGAAAGAAAATTACCGTGCAATCTGAATCGCGAGTCGCCGTCTTACATTTGGCGGCGATAATCTGTAAACGCATCGCTCGAGCGGAACCGCGGATCCGTCGAGCGGGCGCAGTCGCGTGTTAATGAATAATGGATGCGCCTACCTGAATGGACGCGTTATTTCAATGTCAACGGCATTCACCGTCTTCGGGGAAAAATCGACGTAAAGGTCTGCGCCCGCCGACGTTACGCTTGATTTTCGCTCCGCTGCCTGAGTGCCATTATTTATCGAGGCACGTTCTGACTTATTAAGGGCTGCAAACGTATGTTACTGTGTTATTTGTTACCTTGATAAAACGCGCTCGCAAAATATATACATTTCGTTCTTTCGTAAAATTTAATTACGCGGCTGTGCAGTCACGCATACGTGAAATATTAAAGAGAAAAATTAATCACCCTCCGACAGAGAGAAGATTAATCGGGCGTTGCACGCAACGCTACATATATGTGAAAATGCGGCGCACGAGCGCAGCGCGCGTAGCGCTGCACCCAAGGGTGGCAAGATGAAATTTTATATTCAGTGTAATCGCCTCCCGCCGGCTCTTAATTACGCTTAACGAGCCGAGCCAATTTAAACGCGGAATAGAGCAACCACGGACGTTCCGAGGAGAAGCGCGTCGAGGACGATCGCGATCGCCGGTTCTCACGCGGAAATTCCGTTCGCGTTTCGCGCGGAACGCAAGGACGTCTCAGATGGAACGTATCTGTGCAGAAAAATCTAAACGCTCTTTTTAATTATTTTTTCCAGTCTAGAGAAAATAATCTAGAAAATCTATAAAGAACTTTTTTCGTGTTCCAAAAAAAAAAATATATATATTTCTGTTTTAAAAAATTCGAAAATTATATTTGTTATATATACGTGTATCCACGAAATGAAGTGTACGTCAGACAAACGCAGACTTTGCAGCCGCGGATCTCGTCGCTCTCTCGTATGGGCTCCCTCAGAACTTTACGGCAGTAGTTAAATTATGGTTCAGTTAAGTATAATCACGCACATACTCCAACAGGTACTGTGGAATGCTGCTCAGTCCACATCTTTCCTTCCGCTCGGATGTAATTTGATAATTCTTATACTGAACGTTTTATTACGTTTATCGTGATAATTAAGTATCGCAATCAACACTATTTATAGTACTGTCACAGCATTCGACAAACCAATTAGATTTTAACTCGTTTTGCAAAATCGACAACCTTCTTATCGGTGCTGCGATGCGCTCGATATTTTCTGTCGAGATGGACCGACGCGATCGCTTATTCCTCCGCAAATCGCGATCGCATTGTTGCGGTTACGCGCGCGAGTGCGCACGCACACACGCGAGGCCTCGCGCGCGTGCAATCGCTCAGCGAACGATGCACCCTCTTTTCTGGCCTGGCTAGCATTGTGCAGAACACAGTCTGCATTGTACGAATGATTCTCCGCGACCGTATCGGGATCATGATTTCCATGAAAACGACGTAACTGCGCGTGAAATATTAAAGAGCGACGCGGAAGAGTAAAGAAAATTTATTTTAAAAAAATATTTTCTTTCTTAAGAGAAAGTGAGTGCAAAAATTTATAGTATGCATCAAAAGTGAAATACGTACACAAAATATTATTTTACTCATCAGCTTAAATTGTTTCGAAAGCATCTAGAAATAATTTTCGGACATATTTACAGTGTTTCACAAAATTTCTACAATAAAAAATAATTCTACAACGTTCAATTATTCAAATCAAAAGCAATTCTTTCTTAAAATTAATCGATGATGATAGTTGAACGTACGTTCATGTATACGTTCGGTCAAATTGTGTAACATTTATGAACTGTCTCTTTGAAATTGACGAGCCCTATTAATATCTTAAAAGAAATCGGAGAAAGTTCAGGACCGAAATCTACACCATAATTATACCGGTTTCAGTTCCTGTTCTGTATCTTCCATCAAAAAGAACGTTGATTGAGCATTAACCTAACCCTAATCGTAAATAACCGCGGGACATATCTCGACCGATAATTTATGAATCGACCAAATGAACGACGTTCCAGGGGGATCGGTGGCGTAATCCGACACGATACCGTTAATTATTGTTGCCGCATGGCTACACGGCGCGACGCATCCTTAATGTAGCAGTAAATTCCGTCGCAGCTGCACCGGCGGCGCGACGCACGTTCGAGAGATACGTATTATTCAAGTGATACTGCGATTTACGAGCACGTGCCGTCGTTGTCACGCCGACGATTTCACGGTCGGCAACGCGCGAAATAATCGTCACGTTTCGAAGCGCGGACGCGATAACGCTATCCCTAATGTAAACGACGCGGTGACCGCGATCTTTGCGCGGAATCGGAGTAAATCGACTATGAAAACGCGACTGCACGCTTAAACATACACAAAGTGCCAGTTCCAGCTTTCATCTGCAGATTCTCCTATTTTTACAGTCAATTTTCCGCTCTCCAGAATGTTAGACTTTATTATTTTTTCTAACAATTATTTATTTTATTTTATTTATTATGCTACTTGAAATAGTTTTTTGCATATTAAGTTTTCATAATCATAAAATATATAAAGATGCACCAACTAACAATACTCTGACACTTAATTTATAAAAATTAAGATTTCTTAATTTAAATTTAAATTCGTACTAAATTAAGACCACTTTATCACGGCAAATCGCTTAAATAATTTTTTTCCCAAAACGAATCTCTTTATGCAACAAACCCGTCGCGTCGACTATCGATTTCGGATAATTGCGCGTCGCGAGAACGTTAATTTTCCTGACGAGACATGCATCGGTCATTAGTGCGATCTGTCCAGGCTGGTAAGCGCGTTTAAAAATTGCAATTGATGCCGCGAGAATAATTGTCGGGTCTCGATTACGCGCTGCGCGGAAGCATCGAACCCGTCGCAATTATCCCATGGGATACCGGTACCTGGTCTCGACATGTGTGTGCTAGTAACTCGAGCGTTTCTCCGGTTATCTGCTGCTACACAGAAATTGCGTTTCGCATGTACATATTTTTTATACATACGAATCGCGAGTTGAGCAAAACGGAGGGTGAAAGGAAAAAGGGCTCATACTTGGGGAAAAAAATATGTCAGCAAGAAGAGCCGCAAAAACTCAAGATGATTCTTCAATCCGACTCGTGTTCCTTAATCGCTGCTGCCAGCATGTACAATCTTTCCAAGGAGAATTATATGTTTATATTTTTGTCATTCTTTCTCGTATGTAAATTGCACTAGTAGTGCAAGTATGTGTCAGGTTTTCTCCTGTTAACTATATGTTTGTCTCTGGGAGGATCACTTTCTAGCTACGTATAGGGTGTTTTAGAAAATTTATGAAGATGTCTTCTTCTCTTCATCTTAATATAAATGCTTGATCAATTTAGAAGAAATGTTTCCGTAACAGAAATAATAGAAGAACAATACTTCTCTCCGCAATGATAATTAAAAATTAGCTTTTTGCAGATTCAATCTTTGTGAGAATCATAATGAACATAGAATTTCGAACTTTATTCGACTTCAAGTTAATTTTATCCCAATAAAAATTTAATCTTTTAATAAAAAAAGATATCTAATTAAATTTAATTCTTGTTAAAAAGATTTCATGACGATGAAATTTTGTAAAACTGCTCTATTTATTTACACTGTCTGTTTAAATTTTCTGAGAGTCCTGTATACATATTGATATCGTGTCTCGTGATACCATTCGCTCTCAAACGTGGAATAAAATAAAATCGCAATAACAGATGCGACAGCAGCAAGAAAGACTCGAAAGGCGAAGGTACCCTGCATAATGTGGGGGAAAGGAAAGAAACGAGCCAATATCCAGCCGCATCGTTACAGATGGAATTGCAACTATCGCTGTATGCGGATCAAGGGAAGGCGGAGTACCCCGGGCTCCGTTTGCCAGCAAATTGGCCCCCGTAGTCGTGGCCAGTCTATTTTCTCCAGCTCCGACTACGAAAACAATAGGTCTGCTCTTGTTAGCGTGAGCGAATCTGCGGGACAGACTAATGAAACTGGAGCCCGACTGTCGAAGATCATCGCGGAACAATGCTGTTCAATAATGTCGAGAATTTACGCGATATAAGAACAATTGTATTCTAATGTTATTGCAATACAATGTTTAAAATAAATTGTAATTATTTTTCGGTCAGTGTAGAACTTTGCTTGTAAATTTGTTCCGACAAGAGAACTAAAAAGGAACCGAAAGACTGGTTCTCGTGAGTTAATTCCATATTTTATGTTTCTTATTGATTTAGGATACAAGAAGTACATTTTCTCTCTAACGCCTGTTGGGTTCGGTATACCGCAGGGTGCCCAAAAATTTATTCAGGTCCCATGAAGTCAACATTTATCTCGCTTTTTAGTAGCACTTTCTTGGTTATCTTCCTTGTCCATTGTATTCTCTGTCTAAAACTGGCTGCATATTTGATGCATTTATAAAGTAAAAATAGCAACTAAAAGGAGCAGCTGAAAGCAATTCAATATGCCCAAATTTTCATTCAAGATTCTAAAATGGAAATGAATCGACGCGCTCGTTCGCCAGTCAATTTTCGATGAGTCATGCAGATCGTGCTCTCGATAATAAAAAAAAAAGGCTGATGTTTAATTCAATGTTTCGCATGGACGTTGAATCGTCAATGAAGAGGCGGGCACAGACACAGTGCATGTAATAAACATATGAAAGAGCGCATCGGGGACGCTAGTTCGAGACGTTATAAATTAGTTATAATTCAACTTAAATAAATAAAAAAATTTATAAAAATTATTTAAACGTAATATTAGTACAAAATAAATTCTCAAAATAAAACCTCTTCTAATTTATTTATCTTTTATACATAATGTAAAGAACGAAATATTACAACTGATGAAATAGTTTTAGTATTAATACAAATTATAAGATCTCAGGTCAAATTTAGCTTTGCAAAAATTAATAAATTAACAGCACGTCAAAGATCATTTGAATGTCAATCCGAATGATTTGTCGATTCTTTTCATTTCATTCTTCTCTCGTGGAAAAGGAGTGGCATGCGATATAAAAGATACCGCAGTGCGTAAAATAATCGCGGCATGCGCGGCCATCAATACGCACGAAATTTTATGACGGTTATTACGGGGGGTTAAACGTAGGTGCAAGCACTACATCTTGCTCGTGCATTTAACGCGTACACTCATAGTAAAATATTTACTTCTTCTCACAGAGAGAAGGAGGACCCACGAGATAATCCATAGAAGGGCTGCCGCGGTCCGGAACGCATTCCTCTCTTTAACACCACTCGCATATTCAACGGACGACACCTTGACGAAGCAGTAAGCCGACGTGTCGGAGTCCAACGACCCACGTCGTCGGAGATAAGAATTATTATGATTCTACGTGCGTAAACCGAACATAAAAGACGTTACTGGCGTGCCAATAAAAGTAACGCTTGCCCTTCCGGAAGACGATTTTGAACCGACGAACCGACGAAGGATCGTAATTATGAAATTATTCATGCGACAATCGAGAGTTTCGGAGAACTGAGCTTCCTAAAAATCCTTACATTTACAATGGACATTAATAGAATTTTAATTTGAAGTTGCTAAAGGATGAAAAGGCCAGTAGAGAGAGAGAAAGATTACTAGGAACAAGGGCTTTTCACGTGTCTATTCGTTACGTGAGATGTGCGATAATAACGGACCGGCATTTTCCCACGCGACTCGATGCCGCACGAGATAATGATGCCGACTCGTTCAAATTCTCGATTATTATGAGCGGGTGAGGAATAGTTTCTTTAAGCACCGCGGCAAGAAAGAACGGTGCTTCTTAAGAAACGAAGAAAGTTCCCTCAATTTTATTTTCTAAGATAAAATTTGTTTCTATGTTAAAATGTTATATTTTTGTCACATAGTTCTATCGATCTGAACTTTAATTAATAAAAAAGATATCATCTTGATAAATAAAAACGACAGGAAAAGGCTATGAAAACTAGAAGCGCGGATATCGGAGAAAAAAATATTACAAATTAATATACAGTAAGTTACAAAAACGTTTTAGCTCGATTTCGGACTCTTTTCAGTCTGAAAAAATATAACAAAAAAAAAAAGACTTGAGATAAAACATCAAAATTTATATAAAGTTAGATCAAATAAATGAAAGTAAAATGGAATGGATTTACAGATAATGTGTTGATTACACATAAACAGTGCGTGCAACAGCCTTGATAAGTAAATTAAAATCTTACGTCAACTTCTTCTAAAGACAAATCACAACAAACACAGATACAGATACTGAGTAAAGTAGCGCGCGGATGCGGATTAGACTTGATGTCAGGCTTGATTTAACTTCTGTCGTGAAGCAAGTTTCGAAATATTGTTACAGAATGGCAGAAAGTTCCACTTTGATACGGTTAATGATACAGTAAGTATCTTTTAATAAGTTTATAATTACTATTTCTATTATTGAATTATGCGCGGTAATAATTACGCGGTGTCAAATACCACCCATTTAAGTCATACATTAGCTGCGATACATTAGTTATCTTGATGTTCGTAAGCGCGATTCACGCGGAGATTACGACGTCGCGTTACACGCAAGATACACCTGTATTACAAACAATCGTACACCGAGCGAATGGTATCCACGTGTCAAACGAGTTATAATCCACGCTCCGGTGCTCACCTCTCATTTATGTCACAAGGGGAGCAAACCCAACAAATCGTGTTAAAATCCGGGGGGACAAGCTCCGGTAGAAGCTGGTAATTCGGACTCACCATCAGGCAATTCATCATCGTGCACAGGACGAGGATCGTCCCACGACTTCCGTGCATTATTTCCGCTTTGCTGGCCACACGGCTCCTACGGGTCGAGAGCAGTTAAGTCGATTTCCTGCTTCACCTGCGACCGTGCGCGTATATAGAGTTATACGTATATCACCGACGATAAAACGAGCGCGATCGTTAGCGTTGCGCCCGGGGTTGCGTGACGCGATGTGGATGTAAACAAGAAGAAGCGGCGCGCGGTGCCTCCTCCGCGGTGCGATGCGTCTACGAGTGCGTGAGGATGACTGAAACAAGACTGAACGGACCCCCGACGCGGACTCCGGGCCTGGCTTTTGGCGCGGGAGCAGCAGGAGGAACGGAAAAGCGGCCACAACGAGGGCCCGTGCTCCCACCTCCTCCACGCCACGGTCTTAGACTCCCCGTCGAGCTTCCTTTTCTCTCCTCTACTCTTTTTCTTCTTCTTCGACTTTGTTTCTTCAAGCGAAGCGGGGAAGCGTTTGTCAGCGATCCTTTAGTCGCATGGCGATTAATATTTTAGTCAGAAGTATTTTCGTCGGATCATCTGCATAATGTTATTAATAGATGCTTCAATCGTAATTTCGTAAGTTCTTCAGTCTTGTTAAATTTCCTCTTTTTCTTGAAAGTTTTTTTTCAGCCTCTGTTTGGATGACGTTTAATAACAATGGCGATACAAATTGTAAGAGAAAATGTTTTTCGGATGTTTGTGTAACGTTATAAACATAAAAATATTTATTTATGCTTTAAAATAAATTGCAATTTTACGGCACACAAACGTTTTTCCTACTTTATCTTTTTTTCTGTAATCATAGAACAATAGCTATTTTAATTCTATTTTAATTCTTGATTTGTAATTTCAGATAAATTTCTGTTAATAGTTTATGCAGTTAAAAGTTTATATTTTATCAATTTTCTTTTCCTCTTTAAATTAGTCTGTACATTGTTTTTGCAATGTGACAAATAGACCGAGGTATATTTTCTTTTTTCATTTATGGAGCCAAGTAAATTACATGTTTAGAATTGTAACAAACATAGTGTGCTCTCGTTGCGCTTGGAAAGTCGGTGAGATCTAACGTTCTGATAATAATCGCTGCTCGAGCAACATATAAGAAAATTGACATAAAGCCGCCGAACGGAGGAACGGCGAAAAAACCGGTAGGCGGCTAAACGCAATTTTTTACGACGCATCGTAGGCAGGCGGCTGCTCGAAAGGCGTGGAGGAGCGAAGAAACGTCGCTTTGGTGAACAGGAAGTGGCGTAGTGTGGACTACGTCGGAATGCAAATGGAGAATTGACAAAGCTGGGTCGTAAGAAGAAGAGTAACGAAACGGTCGGGTCGGTTAAAGAGCCGCGCGCGGAAGAGTGCTTTGCAAAATTAACCGATAAATCGCGAGAAAAAGCTGCTGTCGGGCTGATAGCCTTGTTAATGCATAAATCCTTCATTCCGATCCTCGCGATATAACCTACGCTCGGCGTCATCGCAGTCGATCTTGTCAACGAATCGCAGGCAGAATCTCGGCGAATCATTGGTAGCAGATCGTTGACCGTTCCAGGACGATGCACCGGTAATCGTTACCGCGGGGTGCACATCAAACGCCCAATTCATTATGGCAGGTTAAATAACCGGTTATTCTAAGTGCGCATTGCCGCTTAGATATATATAAACATACCTCTAAACGGCTCATTTTTAGCGCCAATCAGCATCGGCATCGAATTCCTTCTCGCGGGCGATTTACGTCCGTAACAATTCGTATTCGCATTCGTATTCTTCAGGCTACGAGCGCTATATCTCTGGAATCTCGGAACTATCGTTTCTCCCGTGGAGGAAAATATAGAAAATATGAAGAGAAGTGAAATCTAAAGTTCGGGCATCAAAGAGAAATTTAAATGTTAAATTAAAAAGCGGTGAAATTAAAGTAAAATTTGAAAACAACAAGATACGCTGTTACGAATTTTCATCATGTCACTAATTCTTAATGCCTTTCCATAGTTCCTATTATAAAATTATTACAATTATCCCTCTCTTAAAAAAGGCATGAAAGATCGATACTCGAATATATCGAAAGTATTGTTGACGCTTTTCCGCGACGCTGATTGGTTATCGCGATTATTCTGACAGTTTGATAGTTTGATAGCGAAGGTTATTTTGACAATTATTTAAAATAAAAAAAATTTTATTAAAATATTTAGATTTCGTAATTATTAAATTACTATAATAAGTGCGCGCGCGTAACGCGTGCCTGTATTGTTCTAGTGATGTATAAAAAATATAATCAAATGTATCACTTCTTTTGAACTGCGCAAAAATATGTATAATTACATGCTTCATCATGAAAAAAATCTCGGCAAAAATCATGTTTAAATAATATCGTATCTTCATGCAATCTGGCTCGCGCTTCTTCGATCTCCTACTTTTGACTTATCAATCTCCGTGGCGTCTATTAATTCCGCGAACTCTCAGGTGCGACCGCGCCGAAATCAGGCTAATCTACGGTTGATCGCCGTGATGCCGGTAATAACAATCTTGACAGACGCAACAGACTGCGGTTTGCGGCGTTGTACACGATTGTAAACACCGTTACGATTTCAAACAAATGTTATTCCGCAACAGCTAGCCAGCCAGTCAGTCAGCCGGCCGACAGTTCCGAGTTATTCCAGCAAGTTCGTGGTTAAATGACTTTGCGGGCCGGCGAGACACGCACTCCTATTTAACGCAGACTCGCCATCGACGTGCACGCACGATACAGTGCAACGCAATGCACGCATTACGGTTGGAGGCGGCTGTATATCACGCGGCCGTGCCGCTCTCAACAAGCGCTAATGGAAAATATTTTTCTCTACTCGTGGTTTTAATACTTTGTACCGTTCAGCTTATTACACTTTGATTTCATACTATCCCTCTCTTTTGTGTGCGTGCAAGCCATATTGCACTGTGCCGCTACCGTGTCATTTCGCCGCGAAGTCAATTACTAGTCAGTGATATGAATTATAGGCGGTAAAAAGTGAAGAGCATCATCTCGGATAGCACAAACGTCTCTCTGACTTCGCAACGACGTCCGACAAGCGATATTTCGATATTTTTCGATCTTTCACGTTATATTTTGTACATCATCTTGAGTAAAATTAGAATAAATCAACATCTGCGAACAATTTGCGTATCTTTTCTTATTTTCATGATTGATTGCGTTAGAAAATTATTGCAACGTTTACTTTTCCACTCTTCTTTCTTTCATTAATAACACTTCTCTGGAAGAGTTCAGTTTACGTAGCCAAAAAATTAAAACTTTTTGACGACGCTTCTTTACTTCGATTCGTCCGCAATTAAAACTATCTGCGCCTTTCGCGGCGCGAAAATAAAGTTTTCGATGCGATAGCGAGACAGATGAGGCGGCGATCGTGAACAACGATTTCAAGGGGTTTTTCTCGATAGACACTTTTCTTCACCGTGGCTTCGGAGCTCGCCGAGCAGGTGCCGACCTCGAATTGGTCAGCCAAAGCGAGCTGGGATGCTACCGTTTCTTGTAGCCCAGTGACATCCTCATAAACGACTTAACGGCCTTGGTTTGCTTCTTGTATTTTTTGCATCGCGTACTTCCGGCCTCCCGCGATGATCAGTCCCAGAAACGTCAATACGTGCGTACAATACGGATTCTCATCATAATTATACTAATTAGTAAAAAATTATAAAAATCAACTCTCTTCGAAAAGTCAGCAATGCGCTCTCATTTTTATATAATTTAGTTAAATGTTTAGAAAAATTAATTACTTTTCGAAATCTGGCCTGTTACCAATTTGAAACATTTGCAGTACGTTTTCTGTGCAAAAATATGATTCAACATTTATAGATTTTCTTGAAACTGGATAACTGTAAAACTCCCTCCGTTGAGACAGGATTCCAGAAACAGTCGCAAAGTCAACGAACTGTGCATTACGAGGGAAAACGCAACGCGGTAGCGCTTTGTTTTATATTACAGCACATACCGCTTGTTGTCGCTAATCTGTAATAACGCCGGTGAGTGCTCCGCTCGAGGCGCGAAGGAACGCGCGCGTCTTACTTGCGCTTAGCCGTCATCGCCGGACTCGAAAATTCCAGCTCCGTGAGTTCTGCCACGAAACACGACGCACCGTGTCATTTCGTAACGGGAAACTGGCCGGCACGCGCGATGAGGTAAAGACGGGATAATAAAGTGTCACTGTTGTTCTTACGAAAAGTCGCGGTCATGAAATACGGCGCCGTAACGAATCGTAAATTCCATTAAGTGTAGCGCGACGCAAACGCGCGGCGAACACCGGCCGGTTATATCCAAGGGCCCGTGGGAATAAACAGTTATACACATCGTATGCCGATGAAACATTCATGAAATTCACCGTGTAACACCAGACTACACCGCATTGCGCGTTTACAGGCGTGCATTGATGCAATCGTCTGCAAGTCGAGTGCTGCGCTATATATTTTTTTTTTTATCATTTTGCGCATGCCGCGTGCGGCTTTTTAGAGCCTATTATCGTACGTGCGGTTTGTGTTAACAATCGAACTGTTTGCACCGAAATAGAATCTCAATGTAGGAGCGACTGGGGCAAGGTCGCTCGATATAAGTAACAAACAGGGAGAGTGTGTTTCATTACTTGCTTAAAACGGAATCGACGTCTTTATTTTAGGAGGAAAAGCTTTTATTCTTAAAAGCTTTTATGGATTTTATTAAGCAGATCAAAACTATGGATTTTCTCCTTGTTCTATGAATTAAAATAAATTGGCAAGAATAAAAAATTTGATTGAGATAATTAATCAGCTCAATTTTATAGGAATAAATTGATTTCTCTTAATTTTTCAAGTAAAAATTAAAGTCTTGTTAGATTTATATTGCGCGTGTGTACACATATACACACACCTTTGAGATTTGTAACGATTCTTTAAAATTATTAATCCCTCGACATTCTTATGAAGAAAAGCTCTAATTCAAACCAATAAAAAATTTGCTGATAAGAGAAATTACAGCGAATCCTCAGAACATCCTCTACACTTGAATACTATATTACATGTATATTGTTCTAATCAGGTTGGATGATCCGAACACTAATCACGCAAGATGATGTAGATGGTGAGAACGCAGCAGTAATGAAAAATCGCAAATAATCGAATAATAGAGCCGGTACAGTCGGATATTGTAATAATAGCCTGTGTGGCGCTCTTACCTTTCTGACTCCCTTCCACCGCTCTTATTCAACTCCTTCATCATCATGCTTCTCCTACTATTTCGCCGACATCATCATCGTCATCACTAAAGCCAACATCTTCATCCTTCGTATCCAATGTTATTGAACCCCATGCATTTAACTTTGAATGTCCATCGGGTTTCTAAAAAAGATGAGAAATATATGCTAGCGGCAGATCGAAATTATTCTGTCATAATTATTTTTCATAATTCAGAAAAATTGCGTAAGAAATATATATGTGTAATAATTCATTCTTAATAAGCAATTAAATACATTTCATAGAAATCTTTTCAAAAAATTAAACATTTCTTTATTTTTAAGATTATTTTTAACAATCATTAATAATTTGTATTACTATCTTTAGCAATAATTAAATTTAACTCTTACAAAAAGCAATTAAAAATTATAAAACAGATTTTATCATTCCAAAAATTATAGTATATTAAAATAAATTTTAATCCACTTTAAATCGAAAAAATGTTCATAATTTAATTAATAATAATATAATTTAATTAATTTTAATAAGTTTTCAAGTTAATTAATTTTAATTTTATTGAATTTATATAAATAAATGTAATACGAATAGAAGGAACCGCTATTGTAGTTTTGTATGTAATTAATAATTTGACATATATATAACGAATATTCTTGTTTGCGCATGTAAAGTAATCAGGATGCAAGGGAAGTAGCACGAGGAACAATTCGATATCTGGCCTCATTTATCTTTTCTCGTTGAAACATTCGGTTTATATGCTTGTTATCCGTGCGAGTATCTGCGGGATGTGGAATAATGACGATAATGTTATCCTCCCTGTCTTGTTATTTTTGCAAGCTTAATTATACCGTCGATTATTAATGCTACGCATGCTGCGCTTTATGATAAAGGAGATGCGTTAAAATTCTCACGTATTTGATCTTTTGTCAATTTATATTTACGTTATTATAGAATATTTTTATTTTACAGTAGCGATTAAAGATATCATGAACAAAAAAACTATAATTAATGATAACTGACTTGTATTAACTCTCTTTCAATTCTCAAAAATAGGACTCTTAATGAAATTATTATATTTGTTAACAACATATGAATAGATTAATTACATTTGATTAACCATGTGTAAAAAGAAGATAAATCTATTCTTTTATCATCAAGACACGTAGAATAACAGTATTTTTACTGCATTCTTGCAGAATTCTATTGTTTTTTTTAGTGCAATACAATTTTTGTGCTTAGCTGCATTATTCACATTTTAAACCAAATGTATTATGATATAAATTATTATTTAGGATAATTTACAATAGCATAAAAAATATTGAAATATAATTATTGAAACATTAAAAAAAAAATTTGGTTATGAAAAGATCATCAAATTACCTGATATTAGTTGGCTTTGACTTAACCTCTCCTGGAAATTCCTATGTAACAATCTCAAAAGAGATCTTAATTCTGAATCTGAAAATGACACAAATGTAACATGATTGCGTCAGAATAGAATATATATTTTATAAAATATAATAAAAAAAATAAAGTATGACCTCACTTATCAGGTCATTTATACTGCTACGATTAATAAATACAAACACTTTAATAATTTTCGCTGAAATTGGATATTGGATGATAATAGAAAGATCATAGAAATAATAAGAAATAAGCTATAAGAAACCAAACTGTATGTGTAACTGCAATTATTAATTCAATATATGACGATGCCGGCCATTTCGACACAGAGGCTCTATCTATGATGAAGCATCGCACTTATTAAGAACTCCAGTGTATACACCGGAAAACCGGAAATTTACGTCGCTCAGTTCAGTTCGGTCATATACACGAGTTCGGTGCGTTTTACTGAGAAACATGGCGCTCATTTCCACAAGAGCAATCTTCAGTCCCGGTAAGAATATGCGAAAAATATAGCATGTCCACGCTAATGATCGCGAAAGAATTTAAGTCTGATTTTTATGAATTGTTCCTTATGCCATTCCGTCGTCGAAACTTAACTGATCATCGAAAGCGATTGTTCCACCTGCAAGAAGTTAGGTTAAGCGCAGCGATAAGTAAAATATTTTGTTTTGTTCATGTAAATCTCTTTGTTTCAGTTTTGAGGCATACTCTCAAGCAGATTATCTTCACGAAGCAATTACCAAAATGTGTAAGTACATGCTTAGCATTAACGGCTCATGAATTGTTTGTGTTACAGACGATTGTGCGATTGTTATATTTCACTACAAAAATATGCGCATTGATCAATATTTCAATAAAAAAAAAAAAAAAGAACATACTTTTGGAATACATTAATATTTTGTACTTTGATTTTATTGATATTTTAAATTTTATTACTAAATTACATACCTTGTAAAGATAAGAATGTCTGTTCTTGTGAACTAGCATCAATGACCAAATTGTGAACCTTTTCCTCCATTCCAACTTTTTTTAACGGCAAACATGTAAAATAAAAATGTTTGATTAGATGCACAATATTATTTTTATTTTATATATGCTCTTGTAATCACAGATTATACTAAATTTGAGCAGCGCAAAAGAAAATACATTTTTTTACAACATAGGAATTCACAAAACATTTGGACAATTCAAGTTGATTTCTATAAGCATGTTTTACTTATATATGATTATTATTGTAAATTATTTAATTATATATTATTACACTTTTAGCAACGTCGTTATCAACTTGGCAGTCGTTTGTTTCTTCCAACTGTTAGTAGTCAGAGGTTTTATGCAGAAAAGAAGGTCTTCAGCCGTGACAAACCACACTGCAATGTGGGCACTATTGGTCATGTTGATCATGGCAAAACAACTTTGACAGCAGCTATTACCAAAGGTATACTTTAGTTTCATTTAAAGTATAATTAACAATCTATTTTGAAATCGAAAAAATAAATAATATAAAATATTGTTATATAATAGTATTATCTGAGAAAGAGTTAGCAACAGCCAAAGGATACAATGAAATTGACAATGCACCTGAGGAAAAGGCTCGTGGTATTACTATTAATGTGGCACATATTGAGTACCAGACAGAAAACCGTCATTACGGACACACGGATTGCCCAGGCCATGCAGATTATATTAAAAATATGATAACGGGAACAGCACAGATGGATGGCGCTATACTAGTTGTAGCTGCCACAGATGGTACAATGCCACAAACAAGAGAACATTTGTTGCTCGCTAAACAGATCGGCATTGACCACATTGTTGTTTTTATTAATAAAGTAAGATATGTGAAAGATATTCTATCAAATATAAAATAATCAATATAACATTTAAATCTTTTTTTATATTTCTAAGGTTGATGCTGCTGATTCAGAAATGGTAGAGTTAGTAGAAATGGAAATACGGGAGTTACTTTCTGAAATGGGTTACAATGGTGACGATGTACCGATAGTGAAGGGTAGTGCACTATGCGCGCTCGAAGGAAAGAATCCAGAAATAGGTGCAGAAGCTATTATGAAATTATTGGAAGAAGTGGACAAACATATTCCACAACCACAGAGAGAACTTGACAAACCATTTTTACTTCCGGTAGAAAATGTGTATTCTATTCCTGGACGAGGTACCGTAGTCACTGGTCGATTGGAACGCGGAAAACTGAAAAAAGGAACGGAATGCGAGTTTATAGGTTACAACAAAGTTTTTAAAAGTACAGTCACGGGTATAGAGATGTTTCATCAGATATTGGAGGAAGCTCACGCCGGGGATCAACTCGGTGCTTTAGTAAGAGGTGTGAAGAGAGATGATGTCAGAAGAGGCATGATAATGTGCAAACCCGGTACAATGAAGGCGTATGATAATATAGAAGCGCAAGTGTATATGTTGACAAAGGAAGAAGGTGGCAGAAAGAAACCGATTGCAAATTTAATACAACTACAAATGTTCTGCAAAACGTGGGACGTTGCAGCGCAATGCACAGTAGTGGGGAAGGACTTGGCCATGCCAGGAGAGGATAGCAAGTAAGATGTTCAACCTTTTTGTTTTTCTGGAATTTTATTAAATTAATATTATTACATTGTGTGTATGCACTTGCCATTGTTATAGATTGGTGCTAAAATTGATAAGACCAATGGTGTTGGAGAAAGGACAGCGTTTCACATTGCGAGATGGTTCGGTGACCCTAGGAACCGGCGTAGTCACGAACACAATGAAGCGACTTACGGAAACCGAACGAGTATCCCTTCTCGAAGGCAAGAAAGCAACGATGAAGAAAGAAAAGCAACAACAGAAGCAGTAGACATTATTAACAGTAGATTTCGAAAACATTTATTATAAGATGAAACAATGTCGCTGCAATAAACGAAAAAATATAAAATAATTTATAACAATTTTGATTGAAATACAGCGATTTCAAATGTACGTATGTTTAAAATATCTGACATCCTGTGCAACAGAAATTAATTTGAGGAATGTACAATATACGTTATGTAGTAATAAATAAAATTAATTATGTATCTAAAAGTATTTTTACTGCTGTAAAATTTTACTCTTAATATTTTTTCACATTTCACTTCGTTCATAAATATTACAATGTGATTAATGTGATTAATTTGATTTGCGAGAAACAAATGTTCTAATCCGTAGCGTTGAAATGTTTATGGCATCAATGACCATAATATGTCATCCATTTGCATAATCATCGTATTGCTGTGAAAATGTTTTTACAGCTTTATAACTATAAAAATGTTTTCAGATACATAATTAGCTTATGTATTTATTATTACATAATAATGCCAGAGTAGAATCTTGCATATTTTTCAAAATAACTTTTCAAAGAAATATTAAGTACTTTGTAGATTTTTCTTCCTGTGATACACAATGTTCTTGGCATTTACTTTTCTATCTTTGATATCGACTTTATTACTGCAAAGCACAATTAATATGTTTTCACAAACAAACAAGATTCTGTGCCAATTGGGTTACATTCTTATATGTTTCTCTAGATGTGACATCAAGCATGATTACAGCACAGTCACATCCATTAGATATTTCAAATACATACATTTGGAATCATTGTATTTTTCACGAATAGAAATCTGATTAGTTTTAAATGATTTATATTTTCTCGTTTATTACATAGGAATTTTATACATAATCCAACTGGTAAGTGAATTAGTTAAAAAGTGTTTTTATTACTGCATGACCTTTATAATTTTACTTAATTTTGTTAAGTAAAAAAGTGTAATAGTAGTTTGGAGTAATTCAGATGTACTATAAACACGTGTTTATCAAATATCGCTTTCATTCATTTTTTAGTTTTTATGCATCTACTTCGAGAAATATATCATATAACTTTTAAATAAACGATACATTAATGAAACGAAATAGATTACACGATGATTATCATAAATCTGAGAAAATTGTAGCTTTAAAAACAGTTTGATAATTTATTAAAGTCCATACATCAGTACAATCTGCTTCAAGCAGAAAACACAAATAGAAAACAGATACTACTACTTTTGATACGCCTTAAAGTGGGTTAGCGCGATTGTGTTCAACATACAGCACGCTTTATACAATTCCATTTCTTACGTATATATGTACATACACATGCACGCACACACATTTACACAAACGAGCGAATCGAACAATGTAAACGAGATTTACTTCCATTGTTTCATGTTACATTATGTCAAATTGGCTGTTCTATAAACTGGTATCACAAATTGTTTTCTTCACTTTCTTGTAATTCTGTCCCAGTCCTAATTCTTAAATTTGTCTGACATTATCTTCGCTAGATGAAAATTTTGCAAAATCTAAGCATACAAAGATAAGTTCGCAATCACACACGTGTGCGTATTCTGCATTGTAACGCATTCAAGTGACCCATCTTTAAGGCTATGCGTGTAAAAAGTTCATAAAAATTATCCATATGTTTAGCACAAAGTATTGAACTAAATATTGTGTGAAATATTACTTTCCTTAAAGAAAGAATCTTCGATTTTTATATGTACGAGTGCACAATACAATCAAGAAGCACTCGCATAGTAGGCCTTACCTCTGTAAAGGCCATCCACAACTTTAAATAAACTAAAGATCCTCGTCGTCTTCTGGTAATGCCGTCTCTTGAGCTTCTTTGAGATCCTTCTCGATCTGTTGCTGCCATTGTGGATCCATAGTAACTTCCGGCGGTAATAGTGCAGGCATGGCGACAAATTCCAGATTTGGATCTCCAATCAATTTGCGTGCCAACCACAAGAAAGGTTTCTCGAAGTTGTAGTTACTCTTCGCACTGATGTCGTAGTACTGCAGCATAAAAAGATTAATTTTGTAAATTTTACATATTTTTTTTTATATCTTATAAAATTATAAATATATATACTTGTAACATTTATATTTATAACTATATCTGTAATATCTAATATGATTTTCAGATTAGATGGATAATGTAATATCTTTATTTTATCAGATATTTCATCAGATCGCTGAATCATCATTAGAAATTACAGAAAAAAGAAAATAAAAAACTCTAAAAAAAATATTTCATAAACATATGAGAAAAATAGATGGTAATATAGTAATGAAATGGTAATATAGATATGAAATATCACTATGTAAGTACCTGTAGATTCTTCTTTCTATGGAATACAATGCTCTTTGCTTTTACTTTTCTATCTTTAATGTCAACCTTATTTCCACAAAGCACAATTGGTATATTTTCGCAAACACGCACAAGATCTCTGTGCCAATTGGGTACATTCTTATAGGTCACTCTAGATGTGACATCAAACATTATTACAGCACACTGTCCTTGAATATAGTAGCCATCACGAAGGCCACCAAACTTCTCTTGACCAGCTGTATCCCATACATTGAATCGAATCGGTCCACGATTGGTATGAAAAATCAACGGATGTACCTCTACTCCTAAAGTAGCCACATATTTTTTTTCAAATTCACCGGTCAAGTGCCGTTTGACAAAGGTGGTCTTGCCGGTACCTCCATCACCGACCAGCACACATTTGAAGGTTGGCATATCCTGGCATTCTTGTGCCATCTTAACTGATGATTTCTCGTAAATTTATTTGACGTCAAAGATACTGCAAAGAGAAAAACAGTAGAAGATTAAATTTCCAACCCGATATTACGCAGCGAGCAAAAACACATGGGCGAAACAGTGTACAGCTACACAAAATTCACACGCGGCCTCGTGGTAGATGCTTTCGTGAAAACACCAAAAACGCGCGCTAAACTCCTAAAATTAATCGCGTCAGACGATAGTGGAAAAGATCCAAGAAAAAATAGACCAAGGCCATCATCGAGAACGACGTTTCTGGAAAATCGCGCGAATTACAAGTACATGTATGAAACGTGATCGAAAAAGATCTAACGTACTCGAGGAGTCTTCGCGACAGCAATATTTGATGAACGGTTCGAGAAACGAGGCAAAAAAAAATCAGAGCCGGTCGAAGCACGTTGGAGACCGGAATTCACCGGTGTTGTTGAGCGGTAGCAAGGAATGGCGCCCGTTGCAGTTCGTGAAGCAGAATTTTGTCCCGGTTTATTTCACGTCTGATTGTATGCGATATAACGCGTGCTCGTAACCACCGTTGAGACATCTAATTACCTTCTTGCCGGTTTCGACAAACTGGACGGTGCGAGTATGAAATTTCCCGGGTAGCCGGTGATGTACGTGAAAATGAACGATAACACTCACCGTGCGGCACAGGCGTTATGGCTCACAATGGCGTTCCTTTGGATAGCGAGTGGAGATGATGTCACCTCGTCGATTCGCCGAATCAAAATAGCGTGAAATAACGCACGAAGAAAAACAAAATCGACGCGAAAAAATCAAATTCGATTTTTCGCGTGCTATTCACGATGAAATAAAACGCGATTTTCTCTTGACAAACGCTAATTCTACGGTGCAGTACAGGAAATGAACAATAAGCGACATCTGTAGTCGGCGCGCCATTCGTTGCCGTTACATATAACGTATATGTATCCATTTGCGCCAAAACGCAGCAGGAGCACGTAAAGGCGCGAATAGTCTCATGGCGGTAAACGTTCGATGAAGCACTCGAAAGAAGAATAATCAGTTCAGTCATTCAGTAATCTTGCGATGCTTGACGTTCTCGCATTACCTTATTTTGGGAACAACTGTTGGAAATGACGAACATAAGAAAGGAAAAGGATGACTTGGATGAAACGAATGGAGCATTTTATGAAGTTTTGGATAAAAGGTATTGTAAATTTAAATAATTATTTTACGATATTGTTAAGCAAACATTTGATACAACAATTTCTAATCATATTTTTTCATGTCTTTTCTCTGTTTCTTCATTATATTAAGTATAAGAAAGCTTACATAAATAACATGTTTAGTTAATAATTGTGGTTAGGAAATTGTTGTCTTTTTTAACAATACGAAAACCTCCAATTTTACAATAAGAATCGTGAAGTAAATTAATTAATAATTTATTTAATAAAATAAAATCGTTTTTAAAACAAAAATTTAGTTACATTCAATACATAAAATTACATTATTTTTTGGGTTACATTAAATAAAAAAATCTACAATTATTCAATTTTTATCATATAAAATATAATTTCTCTCTCTTAATACATATGAATTTGATGAATTGTCGAAGTTAGATTATAAAAATAATGATAGAATAGCAATAATTATATACGTAAATGCATATTAATTTATACAGTTTTATTCTTATTTAAATTCAATTTTTTATGTTACATTGCATTACGTTACAACAATGTCATCTGTTATATATATCCACCATGATTATGAAATAAATGAAACTATTTCTATTTTTTCTTGCCATAAAAACAAATATTGCATTGCGAAGAAATATATTTTAGGTTAAAAGAGTCAATCTCTTAATTTTATTATTATATTCATGAATCCTCTTGTTTGTTTTGATATATAACTATTTAATTTAAAAGATATTATAAATTAAATTTATTTAATGCTCTAATCTAATTTACAAAAATTATACACATTATGAAGGAATACAGAAAGATATAAGATCGATATTCGGCATTAACAAAAATGAACATACTCGCTTATAGAAATTGCGTAAGGACCGAAAAATTTTAGTTACGTCTTGCCTCGTTCGTTCGTCACATTTCGAGGCGCTACTCACGGGGCGTCGTAGTACGCTACGTCGATCCTGCGTAATGTTGACGTCATCGGCGCGTGCGCGTCGCGTCGGGACGGCACTGCAGAAGCAGGCGAGTAAGCGAGTGTATCGATTTTACGATCGTGCCTCTCTCGCGGTGCTAGTGCGTCCGTCGTTTCCTTTAGTTTTTTAGTGGCCGTGCACGTCGTACATGGATAAAACCGTGAATGGGATTACCCGCTAGACACGCCGCTCCGTACACCGCCCGCTGACTCGCAACTCCTCGTCACCCTTCATCATGACCAAGGATAGATTAGCAGCCCTCGTCGCGGTAAGTGAATCCCGTCTCGGGACTCTTACTAGTGTCGTTCTCTCTCTTTCCCTTTTCTATGTATATCTCAGTACATCAGCTAGCCGAGCAACGTCGCCGACACGCGTGTCGTCGTCTTACGCGCGACTCACGCCCTGCGACTCTCCCGTGACAGTCACACGCGCCTAACTTCGCACGCCTCTCTCGCATGACGATACGCTTGCCCGCGCTCTTCGCGATCGTTTCGCTCGAGGTCGAGCGGAGTACAACGGGAACGGGAGCAAAACGGCCTCATCGCCGACCGGCTCGGCTCGGTTCGCCGTTATCGCAAAGGCGTAACCGAGAGCCGGCGGATGACAGGCGCCCGCTCGCTCGGCTCGCTCGAGCTGACAGGTGTTCGTGGGACCGACCGACCGACCGCGGGCACACGGAGCGAGCAGGTTTTTGTCGTCATCGGTTATTTCGTACTGCTGACAACGATGCCTCTTGCCGTATTTTCTTGATCAGGTCACCGAGCCGGTGTGTCGCGCCCGGGTCCATGGCGACCATGGCCGACCTTGTAACTTATTGGCGAGATGCCGATGAATGGAGAACGTATTCTAGTCGCCGTGCCCCGGCGATGCTGCATCCGGGTTGAGAGAACGGTGAAGAGTAATCTGGTTATTATAGTCGCGTGAAAATGACGTCTACGTTCATTCATGACAGTGACAATGGCAATCGGTAAATGTAGGATACATTTTTTTTTGTATTTGTAACATTGAAAATCGAACTTGTTTGAATTACATTACTTCTAATTCTTCACTAATATTCGTTCAGCATTTGTTGATTGGATCTGTGATGAAATTTATCGAACCATTAACATCAAAATATATTTTTTTTAGATGACTCAAAAATAACGTGTAAAAAATTATTTATATAGAAAGCTGTGTAATGTACTCTGAAACGATACACTTTCACAATGACATTTTTGATATTTGAAATATTGGGGCAAAAATGCTAAAAGAGTACACATACCAAAATTCACATCTATTAAAGTTGTCAATGGATTAATGCGGCACATTCGTCGTGCCGAAACGAATGTCCTATCGTATGAAAGGATTAATCGTGGAAATATTGCAATGGTGTATGATGTACAATGCAGCGAAATTCGTCACACAAATGTGGCACGATTGCACTTGTCGAATATTCAAGCACACTATACGAATCAGCTTCGATTCGCGAAGATTCGTTTTAATTGATAACAGTAGTGCTATCATTGTGTCATGAAGACGACTTGTCAATGGTATCATTGATGATACCAGCGAATGCAGTGCTGATTCGTAAAATCTATCGATTGAATTCAAGTGTGACTTCTGATATTAGACAAAGATATTGATGATGTATTATTATCTCATCAATCAATGAACAAGTCCGCAGTAACAGAAAATATGAAAAGCTGTAAATTCAAGACTTCAAAAAGATTGCATTTGTCACTTAGCGAATTATTAGTGTGTAATATCTGAAATGTTTTTTTAATCATGTTTTATATAATAATGCAAATTAGAACTGACTGTTCTTTTCGATATTATTACTGCAGTTTTATATTTTTCGTTACATCTACAATAAACGTATTTACAATATAAACGATAAATATATTCATGAAAGAATATATAAAATTTGAAAACAAATTTAATATTTATTAAAGTTTACGTGAGCAGTAACAATAATGCAATAGACAAAGAATGCGGAAGTTGTTTTGCCGACTTTCTTTTCGTTCTTAATTTTCATTTAATACATTTAGTTCTCCAACTCGCGAAGAATGTATGACACGCATCAGGCATTATGCTAGCTGATACTCGATGACTCATTAACTGGCTGCATTTGTAGAAAGCACGTATGGGCGTAAAACCAACGTTACAGCAAACTTGCGTGTCTGTCATTAACTATTATTAATCACTTTTGTAAAAATATTTATTATTATACCAGACAAGATATATTTGGAATATATAATTTTAGATATCTTGTTAAAATCCATATAAATTTATATCTTAAAATTACATTATTTTCAAAATGCAGACAGCTCATTTCACGTACGATGTATTAAAGTTTAAAATTTTTCATACTAACACGTTACGATCGTGATGCTATTTTTTAATAGAAAATTAATGATGTATAGATGTTCAAGATTTTTTTTTTTAATTTGAAAAGAACATAATGTTGAAAAATACCATATGTAGACAGTAAAGTGAAAACAGGGAGTTTCCAAATTTTTGTTTTAAATGCCGTTGGATTTAAAATGATCTAAGCGATATATATTTCGAGCAATTAAAACGTCGATTTCAATGAAATAAAATTTTGATCACAGCATGCATTCATAAACTCGTCGCATTATCGTCCGCGTTTGATTTGTATTTATATCTCTCTTCTCATTTTTAATAATTAACATATAATCTCAGAGTCGTCCGAATATTCTCGCCAAGATATGAGTTGTATTCTAGTGCGCAAAATTGAAGTCTGCGCCGCATTTACACTGCTCGGTTATTATCTTCATCACCGTTCTGCATAACATCGTAAAAAATACGAGCATCTTTTATAAATAGTTGAGATTCCTTTACGAGGCGATACAGCGGGTACGAATTGCGAGACATTTTTCCGCGCGCGGTATGAGATAAATCACTCTCTCGAAAATGATTGCAGTTTATTACGAATTGTGATTCGTGTGTCACATTGATATCTTGGAGAAATGTGCCATGACCTTTTATGTTCACTATCACGGCTGCTCTTTTATTGAGGATTGCGACACAATCTTACCTACTGATTTCTCTTTTATCTTTCGAAATATATCGATACATGTCTGAGATATCAATCCACATCTTTATGGACTTAGGGCTTAAGTGTTTTTGACACGTTTTACTGTATTTTACATTATAATTTCAGATGAAAGTTTATCTATTAAAATTAACAAATAGCAGAATCTACGTAACATACTGGGCCAAATTTATATTAAAATTATTTAATTAATTAGAATTTTTTATATGTACATAATAGTAATTTATTTGTATAAATTTGCGTCATACGTTTGAGAATCACTGCAGCATATAATTTGCATGTGACTTTTTTTATCGCGTTAATTATGGCTTTCCCATTCTCTGAGCCATGAGATACGTTTTGTCCTTCTAACGAGGATAATTCATTCTTCTTCCTTGACCCAGCTGATAGCGCGCATTTACGTTCTTGATGATTTTGCTTGTACGCGAAGGTTATCCCTACTAGGTTTGCAGTTTACATAACGACTCGCGTGCTAATCGTCTCGAATGACACCTCGCGCCTTTGACACTACGCTCGTTACGCCCGAAAAAATGTAGTGGAATTGTCGCGCTACTCGGAATTCAATACCATTGGAGAGAACGCTTCGGTTTATCGAGTATTCGACGATGCCTCTTTGTAGGACATTGCCCTACATTAATATACTGGTACGTCAAAACGCGCGGGCTCAGGTCGAAACCGCACATACATAATTTCGACGAGGTCAATTTTCACATTGCTACAAATATAGGTATATTTATCTCACGCTAATTGTCGCATTTCCATTATTACGAATAAATCAATTTTGCATCGAAATTTGAAATCATCGAAGTTACGTGGATTTCAATTTCTGATTAAATATAGTATGCAAATGCGCGTATTTATGGCATTAAACAAATTTAATTTTTAAATCGATGTTACTATAAAAATATCTCAGTCATTGAATAGTAATTGAATGTGCAATTATTTTGACTTATTAATTTGGAAGGAATGCGAATTATTCACCGAGTAGAATTATGTGGAAATAATTATGATAAATTAAACTGGATCACATACTGTACAGACCGAGTTGTAACAAAGGTCGATTAGCGCTAACCTTATTTAACTCGATTTTACTGTTTCGTCTATACCATAGATAGCATCGTAATTCAGAAAGGGACAGAGAAATGCTAACCTGGGTAGTTAACCCGCACTGGTGGTGCGATTTAGTCTTAGCTCAGCATAAGTCGAAACGGGAACAATGATCGATCGTGTAAAAATTACGTTAGAGATAGTATCTAAATACGCGCTACCCGGAATACGCGTACTATAAAAAAAAATGTGAAATAAAACAGAAATAAAACATAGAAGTTTTATTTTATTATCAATTCCAGCGAAAGTACGCGCAATTAACGAAATTTTATTGGTAATTTGAATTGTCGGGAAACATTACATGCAAAATTTCATATACGTGTGTTTTTACGGTAATTGGAAAATACAGATTTATAATTAAACACTTTTCGCAATTAAATACGCAAGGCTCCGATCTACTATAACATCAATTCAATTTGTAATGTTACGGTTGCGAATGAATATTATACTTTACGTGAATTCTCGCATTTCCGTTGTCAGGAATAAACACAAAGCTCATACTCGTATGTTTATAACATAAATTAGCTCCTAACTCTCAGCAGAATTATAGTGGTTTCAATCCTGCCTCGCATTTGTTACAGCGTAGAGAGACACATAATGTAATTCGCGCCGGTCGCCGCGCCAAACTTTGTTTGGATAACGTTATTATTTTGTCCGATGTGGATGTACTGTCATTATCGTTAGCCGCGATTAAAATATCACTCATTCGGTGTCCGCGCAGAAGAAATTCGCCGCGGAAAACCAGCCGGCGCGGAAACGCGATATCGATCGCGGGAGAACGACACGAACGACGATACGCTCTCGGTCCTCTTGTCGCGCGTGGTACCTATAATCGTTTCTTAATTGTATGCAAATATCGTATCGATTAAGCGCACACAGAGAGCTCGAACGACAACTAGGGCGATCGAGAAACGAACACGGCCGCGAATTTGACAGGTGTGGTGTTCATTTACACCGTGTTGATAGAAAAATTATATACCAAGCGTTAGCAAACAAAATTTTAGATGGAGAAAAATAGAAATATGGATTTGTTTTACAAAATTAGACATTTAATTTTTCTGTTTTATACACTGCTTTCATGTTTTTTTATTCTTATATACATATATTTATGACGTATCTCATGAATGATTATGCAAAGTCTGTTACATTTTGAATTCTTATAGTTTCCTGAAGAAAATCAAAATCGTATCTTGGTGTTTTTTTGTTTCATTATATTGTCACTTTAATTTTCTTTCTTTACGTCTAATAAATTGTAAATAAAAACTATAAAAGTATAATCCGACTGTTGGATAAAGAAATAGTATAAAGCGGCGAATTTTTATGTATTATTATTTTAATGTAATATTCTTCTCATGCATGAAATTCGTCTTAACAGAATGTTCTTCTCTTTATTGTATTAGTTTTTATCTAACAGTTTAAGAATTGATAATTTTACGTAATATTTTGCAACTTTGATTAATTTGAAGCGTAAAATTAGTTAAATTATTTAAAACTTAATTAATATATCTTAAGCTTTCCGTGCAAAAAGCAGAAACGGTTAACGTAAGAACAATCAGTAGATCCGTCGTTCCATGAGATTTTTATTTTTGCGACAAACGACGTTAAACTTATAATGAAAGTAACTCAGTGGTCCACTGTGGCTGTCAGTGGCAAAAGAAATTTTTCCTCGATCGATCAGTTGACTGCATTCAGCACTCTGACTTTACGTCCGCTGAAAAGAAAGATTGTATTTTCGATGACGTCGATGAAATATTTTCGCATTGTTCTTCGTATTATTTATAAGTATTGATTTATGACGCAACGTATAATAAATTGATCAAATCTAAAATTTATTTGAAAACCTTCGAAAGCTCGTCAAAGTGATTTTTCTCTAAATATTTTATACGATTGTCATAAACTTTATAAAACTTCTCCGCCTTCTACCGAGACCATCTATTTGCATTAGTGTGAGAGAAAGATCTTATATTTACTGGCTATAAAATAATATATTTGCAATTTTTTGACAGAAATATAATTTAAATATTTAAAATCAAAATTTGGATTAAATAAAAAAATTATTATAGTATTTTTAGCAGGTCAAAAATTGCGGAGAACTTTTGTTTCATGCGTCTATATAATGTTATTTTATTGTTATAACGTAAAATAGAAAGACGTTATTTGATCAGGAGTTATTTAATTGTTTCGATTGAAACATCACAGTAAGACAAATCACATCGATAAGGTAGTCGATAATTTTTGGAATTAAACTGATAGCAATATGATTATTACGCGATGGACAGACGCCAAGATCTACGACGATAAGAATGCAATGAATCATTTTACAAGTGTTTGAAGATTTTTTAAAGTATTTTTATATCTAATATAAAACATTGGCATAACATGATTTTTTTTGTAAATAATTATGTATTCTTTACATTAAATCTATTATTAATTTATTTATAATTAATGAAAATTACTGTTAATGAGTAAAGAAATTAAAAAAAAATTTCGTAAAATTTATTTTTAGCTCAGATTTAAATATTTCGTTGACAATTTGTTTATTACAACGTCCGAGATTATTTTATCACGGGCAACATCATTGTTCCAATGAAAGCGATTGTACCATGTTATGCGAGAGGAAGTGATTCTTATCAGCACGAGAGATTGCGTATGCACTATATATATTCGCGTGCGCAATCGTTGATAAGAGTAATTAGTATTCATATATTAGTCAGCAATAATTATGCACGAATATTTGTTTTATTTTTTTATATGGGAATAATATCGCATCAGAGCTAATTTTAATTTATGAACTTTGTAAGTAATGTCCGAAAATAATCTCATAGCATCATTTCTATTCCAAGTACCAGAATATCACGGAAATGATTATCGAATTGCTATAACATGCTGTCACTGTCCAATATAGAATTATATAAGGAAGTCTCTACAATAATTTTATTACTATTTTAAATGTTAATTTTATCAATATTTTCAATAATGCAAATTTAAAAGTAAATTTAATAGCAAATAAGTAAATTAACATTCTAATTAATCACAGATAAATTAACAAAGAAATATAATTCTACAATTTTTGTCTACAAGCAGTTAATCGCTGTACTGTTCAGTTTCTAATAATTGTTTGTATTTTTTACAGGCCCAGTCGGACGACGACGATGTGGCGGACGATGTGTCCGTCAACGTCGGGGCGCCGGATGATTTCATGACAGAGTTTTTCGCGGAGGTGAGTGATGAACTAATTTGTTACTACGGGAATTTCATTTCCGGTACGGCGCGATACTCAACAATTGAAAGTAGGTTAAGCCAGTATCAGCTTAAAAGTATCGCTCTTAACGAGGACAATATACAATTTCTCCCGCTTCTTTTCATATGAGTATGAATATCGCGCGGGACGGGAAGGAGGGGGATAATACATAAGAACACTTGTATATAAAATTCAATAACTTGCGCAAGAGAGTTTTTCGTAAAAGTTCCGCGCTGGAATCTTCGCACAAGGTCCGTATTTTATTGATCGCGGTTCGCAAACCCTTTCTTATTTTACGATAAAATGTTTTTACTTGCAAATGCACTTTGCTCGGGAAACAAGATACAGCCTTCTTGTATCATGCGCGCGTCTCTTTTCCAAGGCGTAGATTTCGTGCTTCGTGCTGCATTCGTAATTCGCGTGCGATTTACTGAAGCGAAATCTCTAACAAGCATCGATGCCCATATGCATCGCGCGTCAATCGTATCGCTTAATCAGCTTATACGGTATTACGGGGAATTGCAAACACACGCCTGTATGCCGACGTACGTTTTGCTATATATGTCTTTATATAGGTACGTTAAATATTTGACGAGGAAAATTATAAATTATTATGTTTTCGCGATCATCAGATTATCGTCGTTCGAAAAATGATGCAATTTTTCTGTCTTTTTGATGTTGATTCTAAACAAACATCCGCGCTTATTTTTAGAATAAATCGCGTATATTTTGCAAAAACGGAAAGTTACATTTGTTTAACCTCAAACGATACACTTCTTGAAAAACAAGAGCTGAAAATAACAAAGTAAGCATATAATTTTCTTTTACGTGCACGTCTGGTTACACATACAATAATAACCTGGTCTCCGCCCTTCCTCGAATATGAAAAGGTTTTTTTATCTGATATACTATTTTTCTTGTGAGATGGTGATTTGTTATCATAGATAAGAGATGTCAGCCTGAATACCAAGTGTTATCGCGTAACGAGGATCATTTCGTTTCTCAGATTTTATAAAAATTTAAGGATGATAAGGAATTGTTTAAAGTTTACGTTTATAAATTGTTTTATCAAGTTTGAATGTCGCGTAAGTTCATATCATGCTGTCTGCATAGTCTGTTGGCCGTGTAATAAAAAGCTGCGTGGAAAAGAATGAAAGAAAGAATCTAGGTTAAGGAAAAAACTATTCATAAAATTCTAAGAAAAATTAATCGTACGTAGGACACACTTTTGCTTCATGTTTTTGAAGAGAATACCTTCGCTTGCACTTGCGGCATTCACCTCATTTCTATTCATATGACCCGTTTCTGGACAAACGTTCAAATGGTTGCAAATGTCCAAAAGGTAAAAGATAATTCTTACGTCAAGATATGCTCCCGCTTCGCGTTCTTCTGGAAATGCTTCTGTATTTACCTTCGGTTAAAAGCACTCACCTCATCTTTATTCGTATAATCCGTTATTATGGTTTTATCCAGTTATGCAGTTTTCCTGCGGTTTTAACATTATTCTTGTCGGAATAATTCTGCAACAATGGCGAATGCAACTAATTAAAAGTTATCTCGATATCTGTCGGAGCTTTAGCGTGCTCTGCGCTAAATCAGAATTTATCGTCGATGAAAGACGACGAAGGAATCGAATCCGCCGGGATAATGCGCGGCTATAAATATCGCATACAATTTCGCCGGCAACTGGATGATAATTATCGCAAACAGTGCGCCATTTCTCACGCGCTGTTTCGTCGACATTCGTGATTCGCGTGTGTTTGACGTTTACGAGGGTTCCAGCTCCGACGGAAAACACAACGCTCGCGAAATCCTCCGCTCAGAGCGGGGAGAGATTGCCTGCCGCGGATGTCGGATTTTAACGCGACCGAATACGTGCACGACGTGATTGTTGGGACGCAGGCAATTCAAATGCAGATGCGACTCGCGAAGCGAGAAGTGATGCGAGCCGAAGTGGCATTATATCGGATGTTTTTGTTGATAAACGTTATATGTTGCACAAACGCGAACGGAACTGTGCTGAAAAGTTCAACTCATTGAATATCTATAACTACGTAACTAGACATAGTATACGTAGGCGTAATATCCAGAAGAAGAAAATAAACATGATGCTCGTAAATTTAGATTTGCGTTCGTATGACATTTTTAAGAATAACTTATTGGAATTTAAAATTACTTCTATAATTCACCGGCAAATTATTTATATTTTCTCTCAAACTAAGTCTCCAGTTTTGTTTATCACGCACGACTGTATGAAATTATTCAAGTAAAATAACAAAACTAGGTGGATAGTCCCGAAGGATATTTGCACGAAGAAGTTCTAAATGAATAGAGATTCTATTCAGCTTTGTTGTGGTGCGGAACTGCAAGAATGAATTGCCCCGTGATGCTAATTTTGTGCATTTGTTATTAAATAATACCATCTCATTACACTTGCAAATCGCTTACAACAATCACATTGTTATCACTTATTTTCGCTTGATATTCGCTTTAGGCATTTATCGGAAGCGTACATGCATAGCTACTGCGTTTATTTAACTCCATAACAATATTGTGTAAAGTTCGTGTTAACGTAAAAAGCAAACTAAAAATATTTTCGTATATCTCTTTTATCAATATTTTTTAGACCAGTTTTTTATTAATACAAATGTTGTACACAGAAAGAACATTTTTGCTGAAAGATCTAAAAATTATGTCAGAGATACAGAAAATAAATTTTGTTGAACATTTAAAATCAATAGAGTACTCGAACTGAGAATATGGATCGTCAAAACTTTTTGCTGCGATATGACAAAGATCGAGTGCTCTATTGATAAATTTCCAACAAAATTTATTTTCAAATCTACATTGTATATCTGGTACAATTTTCGGATCTTTCAGCAAAAGTATTCTCTCCGTGTACAGATTTCACTCATACATACGCCACAAATAGAAGATTGACAATATATTCTGTATAAGAGAAATGATTGCAAAATTACGTGTTTTTCGAACTGAAAAATGTACAGGCCATTGATTTAATATATTTTTAAAAGATAGAAATGCAAAAACGATCGGCCTTAAATTTGTATAATATACGCTTGTCATCCGCGCGAAATTCGCGACAAATCATCGGAACGATCGTTATGCGCCAATAAATAATTCGTAATTCGCTTCGGCACCATCAGCCGCGCCGTAGCGGCACTGTGTATTTATATTGCTAATAAAGCCACACAGTGCGACGTGCGGCGGCAAAATTGCATCGGTGATGCGATTTCACTGGCGCGACACGTACGAATATCACGGAGTGCAATCGGCACGGCGGCGTAGAAATACCGCTCGCACGCTGTCACGATATTTTCCGACAGGTCGAGAGAATTTTCGCAGAGAAAAGGCGCGTTCCCATGTAAATGGATAGTCGTAAAAGCACGCGCAGAAAGCTTGTGCGCGCCAAGTTAGATTGATTTTCACCATGTTCTGTCGCTATCTCGCTCGTTTCGCAGCCTGTTTTATTTCGCATCTTTATTCCCCATTGTTTTCCCACGAACTTCGTTGCCTGGAGAATTTCCGTATTATTTTCTTGCAGCAATGAAATTACGTGCCGCTCTTTTTTTATTTTTATCCTTATTGTTATTATTCTGATTTCTTTTTTACAATGTTGAATACTTGTTTTTATATTTCGGAAGGGTTACTGGATTACGGCGTGACTTTCCATGTAGCTTTACTGAAAAACGAGAATTATGACGCAACTTTATTTCAATGAAAAAGTTTATGACGTTTCACAACATTAATATAGCATGAGAAATGAAAGTAGTATTTGGTAACAACCAGATGCTTATTTATAACGAGATATTATTTTTCTCTTCATGTTGTTCGAAGTAATTTCTACTCGAGAAATTGAAGTCAATATTTATTAATTAAATCATGTTTTATGATGTCGAAAATTTGTCTTTGAGATAGCCAAACAAATCGCATTTTGAGAAATGTCCTCGTGACATGTATAACAGATTTTTCTTTTCCCATTCAATTCATTTTACGCTTGTAAGCAGATATGAAGCAGTGTAAAACTTTTTCATCATTTTTACAATCTTTGTATCCACTTTTCTATCGCGGATACGTTATATCGATTAGAATACATTAAGTATGCTAAAAAATCGATTTAGATTATAATCACTGGCATAATTATTTTATAAGAAACATTTGACGTGTCTTTACGATTATTCATCCGCGCGTTCAAAATTTGAATTTTCACTGTTAAATCTGAATTTTCACATTTTCTCTCTCTCTTAGCGAAATCGATTAAAACTCTTCTAGTACCTGCTCATGCGGTAAGAGGAGTGAAACGCGTTGAATATGAAGTGTAACTCTGTCGACACGAAATTCCTTCGCGCGTGTAATTGTGCGCAAGCTTATCATCATCCTCGTGAGCGTTAATATTCCCTTCCGTCTTCGCGAACTTCGTGAACGTGCTGTAACTCGGGGCGAAACTTACGCACAACCACGGGTCGTGAAACGAACTTCCGGAATCTTGTCTAGACGAGACCTGGAGGATAAATATCTTTTTCACGTAACTTTCGACAGTGAGAGTACACACTCGTAAATTGTAATTTTTAAATATTCTCGGAAGTAAGTAAAATAATTCCATACATATACGAATAACTTCGTATTGCATCGGATTGTGTAAAAAATAATTTTGTATTTTCCAATAAATATAGTGTGGTGTTATACTGTTTTCAAGCAACACACTTTTACGCAACGTGAAAAAATCGTGGGCGGAACTTAATTACAGCTTCGACAAATGAATATTTGATTTATATGTATTAATCAAACTACGCTTTGTGTGTGTGTCTGACAAAAGAAGTAGATGGATTTATTTTAAAAATTTGAAATCACTAATTACGTAATTCAATATATTCTATGTACTGACATTCAGCGTTACTAACTTGAAATCGATCTTTATTAATATTTATTTTCTAAAGGTTAAAGCTTTTTAATACTTTTAATAAATAACTCCGCATTTAGAGAGAATGTATTTAATTTGTATTTATTTAATAATACAATCACTGAAATATATATAACCGAGTTTTTTAGTGAAATAATATAGTTTACAAATATATGCATAGTATCAATAATAAACGAGTTAGTATTACAATATATTGTACAGAAATAACAATGCATTGATATTTCTCAATAAAACACGGTAATATAACTTATATTTAATAGTTATTTTGCGAAAGAGGATTCCATTTATTCCTGTAGAATACGTAAACGAATATATTTTATTACGTATTACAATAATTAATCGTTGCATCGTTCGTGAAATATAAAATAATAGTACAACATATTATATCATTACGATGTTCTTAGGACACGCAACAGCCTTTTAATTTTCTCTCGTTCCAAAATTATCGTTTGAAAGTGTAAGATTGAGACTTACGACCAGGAAATCTCGTTCCGACAATTGAGCAAAAAAAAGAAGCTTGTCTTAACGCGAAATCGATACACAGACGTGCCGTGCGATGTCTTGCGTGTTTCGGGTATGTCGTAACAGCGTCATTAGACTCTCCGTTCGTGTGTCCCGTACGTAAACGCGATGCAGACTATGCACTATGCAGTCGCAGGGAGGAAGTAACGAGGAAGGACCGGAATGGTCTACGAGCGTGCAATCGAGCGAGATGAAAACGGCGCGCTTACGAGAATGCGCCGCGAGTGATGCAGGGTGGCACTAATGAGACCCGCTCCTGCGCGCGGAGCAACGTATACCTCGCCGATGAGAGAGTGTAGTCACGAAGGAGCTCTTAGCGGATCGCACTCTTCTTAGTATCGATCACCTGTTATGTTACCGTTATCGTTATCCTTTGACGAGAAACGAGCGACTTTTTTGAGCGATGAGGGCATGGTGTCAGCTTGTTGTTAAATCTGGAATGTTATCGTGAATGTTTCCATGGAATGTTTATTCTTTATACATTATTTGCAATTGCTGTCAACTTTATTTACGATAGATTAATTTTTCCATGGAAATATTTATCTTAACATATACGATACATTCTAGAAAAAAAAAAAAATATATGACAGTAGACGTGTGTTGAATTGACACACTTTTTAAAAGTACCTCATTTATTATTAAACTTGGCGAATTAAATTAATCGTTGAAATTACGTCACTTTCGAGACTATTTCTCGTCATCATGCGCTATTAAAGGGATTAGAGCCGGACGGAGCTTGAGCGAGGCAGTTAACGTTTACGGATCGAGTTGTTTCACGAGATGGCCAGCCATCCGTTCGTCCGTCCGTAGCTGTTTCCCTCGGCGTATCTCCTCTCTGGCGAAATTCCAGCTTGCTGGACGATGACTGCGACACTGGCTAGTATCTGACGTCATTTCTTACGTCTGTCGTGATAAAGCGGAGAATCCTGATGATGAGTCAGACGGAATCGCATCAAGCGGGAAAGGTCGCCGAGAGATAGAGTGGGAGATTACGCATCCTCTTCCGGCGGGTCAATCGATGGGATTTCGTCCGGTTTTACGACGCTGTGTACGTGGACCCTCTCTATCATCGCATAGGGCTGGTCCTCCTCCTCTCGTCTCTCGCGCGGGTTGACCGGATATTACTCGCCATTCTCTTTCCTCTTACTAATTAGATCGCGCCGAGGATACGCGAACGAGAGCTTTCGGAATTCACCGCGACCGAGATCTCCCGCTAAGAATATCTCTTAAAGCCGATGGCGAACGGAGACCTTTGTAGCTTGGAAATTGCGAACGAACTTTGTCGAAACAATTCTTCCTTGTTCCACTTACGTCATCCATAAATTAAGGCATTTATTTAGCAAATATCGGATGAGTAATTGCTTTATTTTGCGGGAAGTAGAATTTACAATTTCAAATGCTTTATATAAAATCTTATTTAATTCTAGCACTTTTATGTATAAAGTAAAGATTTAATTAAATTTTAAAAAATATGCTAAAATTAGTTTGAGTTAATATTTTATTTTTATTATTTATATATATCACTTTTCCAAGTAGCAGATCAGTTTTATTTAAACCAAAAGTCTTCAAGTGCACATGTGTCAAACTTTTTTTATAAATTTCCACATGTTTTAATACTTTTTCTGAAAATTTTTCGAAATATGTGTGAACTTGCAAGCAAGTATCGTGATCGCCTGGCCAAGCGTGGTTTGCACCACTTGCGGCGAGCGCCACATGTTCTGACCACAATTACGGCTATACTACTTAAGTAGAGTAGTGTGTTCGATGTAATGTGTGCCGACCTCTACTACTTAAATTGGCTACTTTCATCAGCAATGCAATCGAGCGCTTCTTTTCTCATTATTCTTTTAACGAGGCTGTTTTTTTTAATTTTATTAAAGACGAATTATGATACTGATGACTTGAATATTAATATTTCGACTAATATATCTCATTTTTTATCATACAAACACCATAATCCGACATATTAAAAGCTAATAACGGCAAACTACATTTAATCAAAGATCGAAACATATTAAAAAGTTTTATATTATTTTACAATGCAAATTTAAGTTTGATACAAAGCTTATAAAACGAAATGTCAATTTAGACGAATGTGATATGATCAGTAAGTTACATAAAAATTTTCAAACTTGAATTTACGCTTCTGTTTCAAGATACTTCTCTAATAGATATGTGAAAGTTCGCGGCAATGTATATATCGAATCTGCGAAACACGAATAAATTTTACGAAGTTTAAACCAGCTGCTGACTCTGACGTGTGTTTTTCCGTAGGTGGAGGAAATCCGCGAAATGATAGATAGGATCCAGACGAACGTGGAGGATGTGAAGAAAAAGCACAGCGCCATTCTCTCTGCGCCGCAGACCGACGAGAGTGAGTTTAATTTATCATCTTATATTATACTTATTCTATATAAACACACACACACACACACACATATATAACATTTCTTACGCCAAGTACGATCATATATCCTCGCGTATACTCTCTCGAGCTTGATTACGCCTCGCGTAACAAAAAGCAAGATAGCGTTCAACGTGAAAACGACTATTTTCGAAAATTTGCCGTCACATTCAACAGTCAACCTGAGGATTAAGTTAAACGATAATCAGTTTATTCAAATATTAACGCGTTGTATGCTAACAACAACGCATCTGTTTGCTCCACTGTAATTATTTAGCAGCAATTCAAAAGCCGTGCAGCTTTCGTATATTCCAGCTCTCGTTGATGGAGTGGTACGGAAATCATTTCTACGTTTATTTGTAAATAAAACACGCGATTGCGAAAATATTTCGCGCAAGAATGTTTTTACATTTATGACGCCGGAAGTTTAATCTATTATAACAAGGGTCGATCGCTGTTATTTATATCTATCAATTATTTCGTTAACGTTAAGTTAACATTTCTCGGATTTCGATCGCTAGAAGCGTAGAATGCTTTGAATCGGATTGTGGCCAAATCAATGTTTTGTTTCCGGTTAACCCATTGATCCTACGCCGAACTCCTCCTTCCGTCGGAGGCTTGCTAAGTGTCAAATTTAAATTTGCTCACTGTACATAATTCAGGAACTTATCCGTCTTTCTGGGGTCGATTTAGCCGACACCGACGTGCTTTCAAGTCGGTTGGTTGCCTTCGTTCCTCGGCAGAATACTTACATCCCGCTCATCCTCGAACGTCGCTCCTGAATATTTCATTCGGTCGAACGCATGCGTTACTTGCCAAAAACCTTTCACTAAACACACCACGCCGCGAAATCCGATATTCTAGAGCGACATTTTATTATTGGAGCACGATGACATACAACGGAATCTTTCAAACCTGAAATGTATCGTTGTATTGAACGCACGTGGAAAGATACGGGATTTATCGAATTTCCAATATATTGATAAAAGTTTCGAGATTTATTAAAATTCTGATATATAGCTAAAAAACAGTTTCAAGCATTGATTTATACGACTGACGGTTTAAGCTCGACTCGAGAAATAAATTAACGAAGCTTATAAAAAATTTCGCGCGAGTGTAAAGTAACTCGATTGGAACAATCGATTAAAACAGCCGCAGAAAAAATTATGACGAAATAATTTCTACAAAGTGCATTTCGCATAATTACGTTTATTGCGAGAAACAATGTATCGCAATTTCCCGGGGAGATAATCGAGCCTCGAAATTCCGCGACGAGCTTCGGGGCGCCGCCAAATTCAATAGCGGGAAATGCAATGTAGGGGACCGGTTAAGTTTGAAAAGTGGCTGGCAGAGGGGAAAGGTAGAAGGGGCGGTAGCGTGGCCAGGGCGCTTGCGAAAGGATGAGTAGGGAGATACGCGAGGCGGGGAGAAAGCGGGGATACACATGCGGTGGTAATCGTCCTTGCCCTGGTTGCCATTGTAGCTGCCAGCCGGCCGGGGTTGGGTTGTCATCCCTTACACCTTCATCCCCCGCCGTCGGCACGACGAGCTAGCGCGCGCGCGGGCGCGCTTGTTGGTGGCGGCTGTGGCTTCTAACCCTTTGTTTATATGAATCGAACGCCGACGCCTGCCGTGGATTAATCGTTAATAGCACTTCCGCGAAGCCATTTTTACGCCTTTTCACAGAAGGGCACGGATCGTCGAAGTGTTGGCCACTTTTATCTTGCTCTGAAACACTTCCGGAGAAAGATTTTATCTTTTTTTTTTTTTTCTCCTTAAATCTTGCTTCGTGATTTTCTTTTACAAGTTAGATGCTTATGAAAATTGGCGTTATTGTAAAAAACAGTTTTATATTGCGATATCGCGAATTATATTGAATTTAATTTTTGAATATAAGACTTTATTTTCAAAATATACGTATCGATTTTATAATGTCCTACGGCGTTTTCTTACGCTGGTTTTGCGCGATCGACTTTTCCAGAAGAATCTGGCGAAATCTGTATGAGAATGTGGCGATGCGAGAAGCCGCGCGATTATAGATGGAATTCTTTTACGTCGCGGCATATCAAGTGGCAAAATGAAAAAATACCAGATATTACAGACATTTTCTTACGACATAAAATAATTTGGTCTATTATATGACTCTAAGAAAACAATCAGATCGTAGATACAATATAAGAGTTGTACAAAAATTTATATCAAGACGCGATGCGGAGGAAAGGGAAGTTAAAGTTGTTAATTGACGCTTATTATTTTACGTTAATTATTGCGTGACTTCAAAGCAAATGTCGCAAATGCCGCGCCTACAACTTGTCGATAACTAACTCGAGCGCGTAGATTAACCTACCGCAACTGAAGGATTAAGTAATATCCTGTTCGAGAGCGATGTCCGTTAATTGCTATTAATACCCCGACCTTGCGGACTGAAATTCCGCGGTAATTTAGCCTGGCTTTAATTATTCAATGCGCTACGCGTAATCTTACCCTGTGACCCTGTCAGCCGTACGTGCATACGTCGTATCGGTTTATTGTTGGAGTAGAATGCGAGTATTTCTATAACTATCTACCGCGCTCGGTCTCTTTCAGCTTCGCTCTTCTGCCTGCCTGAGAAGTTTTGACGGCGAGGCGGCTAAGCCCTAGATACGTCAAAGAGGTTTCTCCGTCCGTCTGTACATGTGTGCGAACGCACACGTGTCCCTTGGACACTTACGTTTATCGCAGCTTTTTGCAACGTAACCGTGACGATGTCGTAGCATAAACGAAACAGCGGCAGAAAAATGAGAACGCGCGAAGTGCGGCGGTCCATTCAGATAAACCGTGATGTTCAGCTTGCGACGATACACTCCCGCCTCTATCGCGACACACACTTACGTGAAATGTGCCAATTTGTTTATATCAGTGGCTTTCGCGTGAGTCGCGCAGCAATATCTCTTATTGCGTGAGCGAATAACATTACGATAGAGGATTTTATGAAAAGTACATGTTTTTCTGCGAAAATCTTCTCTCTTTTATTTTTATACGATTTTCATCGTATATTTTTATTTAGATGGCTTTCTTCAAAGTAGTAATATATTTCTTGCGTCTTTTTTTCTAGTTGATGAATATATTGAACACAATCTATAGATAAAAATTTAAACATTAGCCAAACGTAAAAAAAAAATTTACTAGGAACCACGTGTCTTAGCGAAAAGTTACAATTTTATTGTTATTTGTATCATAAATATATGTACAATAGCGTTCCATAACTCTTTTTTACACAAGAAACGAGTTAAGTAGAATAAAGATAATGTACTGCACGCGTAGAATGTTTTTGCGAAAGCTTCCTTGCGAGAGCGTCAACTTTAAATGGTCACGAGAAGTGCTATCGAAAGGCGCGGAATGTTTGTAGTGATACGCGCATTACGTGTACGTGAACGAGATGAAGATAATCGAGCCTCGTGCACGTCGATATTGTTGTCGCTCGCGGCGATCCAGTAGAAACGGGTTAAACGGTTTTAGAAACTGTGTCGCTGTGCCGAATGCCTCGTTAGAGCGTGCATGCGCGCGCGCGGATTACGAGCCATGATGACGATACCGAGACACCCCGCGGGATCGGTGTTACGCATTTGTCGCGGCGGATGGTTCGATAATCGATCGTTCCCACGTCACTTACGCGCTCGAGGCTGCGAAACAATCGTCGTTGTTCTCTCCGCGCTGTTCATTCGCTCGCCCGTTCGCTCACGGGCCGGAACTTCCCTATAATATCCAGGAGTTATTTACACGCTTGAATCGCTGCCTCGTATTTCCGCACGCTAATGGCGATATTCGTTAAACGTAGGACGCATAATATCATGTATTGTTCCCGGCGAATAATCATTTTATTTAGCAGTTTATTTCTGGGATTTTCACCATCTATTCCGTTGATTAACCTCTGGAGGCCGCCCGAGGTCATAATTTTTAGCGCGGCCAAAATTTGGTCATGTAAATTCCGCATGGTTTACACTATTGATTGCTTTTCTCTTAACAATAACACCGGAATACGAGCATCACATGTGATACACTATTAATGTTCAGATAATAATAATTTGCAATGCATTATTACGTATTTTTATTCATAGGCATTAAAAGCAAGCAATATTTACGCGATTATTCTATTGTTCGTGGATCGTTCAATCATGGAAAACAATCGCCATTATTCATCGTCGCTGTCTGAAAGAATAAGCGAGTAATGATTTAATAACGCAAAGTGCAAATCTTGATATAACTATCGCATAAGATAAATTACACGCGAGGATAAAAAGTTCAAGGTATCATATATGAAGAGCGCGGAGATAAAATTATTCCTCAGCAATCGTTGCTTCGCATTTTCTGCGCATAATTGATAGGTTTCTCTTTGCGTATAATTGGAAACAATTATCGTTTCGAATATCGTCTGTTTTAACAGCGTGATTACGTAAACGAAAAAAAAATCTTGATCGTAACGACTTCGTGTACGCTCCGTGCTGTTACAACATCGGTGTAGACGCGCACCACCTGCGGACGCTGCTAAATAGTATCACGAGAATAGTCCTGCGTTAAAAATAGCCTGAAAAGTCAGTGCGATGGAGAGGCGGCACTCGAGTTAACCCGACGCCGCTCATCGATCCGATCTACCGCCAGCTGCCGTGTATCAGCGACAACGGATGAAAGCGTTTCTAAGCCAGCAACCGCGAAAAAATGGACCTTTTGTGTCGAAGCTTATTTAAACGGAACGATTCTTGACGGGAGGAATGAGACGTTCCTGCGGCACTATCGTCGTGCTTAGCTTATTTTACATCGAGCAGTAGTTTCGTAAATTGAATTTAGCACACGGAGTGTCTTTATGCCGCCGATCTAGCTGTGCATATAATTTTTGAAAAGAAAAAAATGTGAATTTTATATCGTTTATCTTCTCAGTGAACGCGGAAACAAAGGCAAGGGAGGTACAATTTCTCAAGCGGGGAATTCATGTT